TTAATTTCATAAGTGCTAGAATATAAATTTGAAAGTCTATGCCTTTTATAATTCAACTCAAGCAGTTCGTATAAATATTTAACAAGTTGAGTTAATTTATATTTTACATTATAGTTTATGCAAAACAAAAATATGGTATTTTATGGTATATAATCTAACGATGTTATATCGTGACACAAAATATATAATAACAGTCATAAAAACCCACTAGGTACTATGAATTTTTTAAGACATCTCTACATGTTCAATCCATGTTTTAATATATATTATAAAACATATTCTGTTGGGCATAATTAAAATGTTTTTTAATTTTATAATTTTTTTTAGTGTATATAGAAGTATTAAAGTTTAGAAAAAATTCAACTAAGATAAAAAAAAACAATAAGGTTGACTAAATATTACATGCCCATACTAAATTTCATTGGTATATATATTTGTATAATAAATATGGTTGAGGAAGGTCTTTTAGAACTATAATTGATTTGGGTTAGTGTGCCTGTTTGAGTATATCTAAAAATCAGTAAAATGAGTACGGGCTGTTAAAATAATATAAGCTATAAAAGAAATATTTTTAGAAGTAACATATTAAGAATATAAAAAAATAACTAAGTATCAAAGTTATCTAACCTTTTAAATTTTAGAATTATAAAATAAAAATAAATATTGACATTAATGCAGCGACGAATGAAGATTATATGTATCCAAGAACTGAGGCAAATGTAATATTATTATTGAAAATGTATATTTTTATTAACAATAATAATAAGTGCACTAAGCACTTATATAATGTGTATCTAATATCTATATATAATAATAATTTTAGTACCGAAACTTATGTAATACGCATGTATGTATTATACATAGTTTATAATATTCAGCGAGTAGAAGAACAAAATGAATACTAAAAATAGTTGTTTATTTATTATATATACGTATAATCTGTCATGTTTATCACAAGCATAACGTAGTCAAAATGATTTAGACTTCTAGACTAGGCTTAGTGTTTTTGAAAATAATTTAATCAATTAATTTTTATTTATTTCATCTTTCAATTCCTCTAGTTATTTTAGATAGTTTTTTTTTTTAAGTATAAGGATATACTGACTTGAAATATTGATTTATGACTGTATTAAAGTATATCGATGTATTACAAACTTTAAGCTATAGTCATATCATAATAAATTGGGATCATATAATAGTATTAAGTACTTATAGTGTTTTAAGTTTTTTTGAAAAACGAACCTAATACAAATACCTACCTATCGATATTAAATTATTGTCAAACATATTTCATTATTTCTTTACCATGATGAATCTTTCTAATTTCTAGTTTTATATTGTCAGATCAAAAATGTATAATGCCAATAAGATTATCATAATACAACAGTTGTTTTATAGCAATATTTTAATAAAGATTTTCCTTAACAATTTTAAACATACCTACATAGTTTGTTATATTGTCATTGCTTCCACAAATGGGTTTCGTTCTTAGTTTTAATATGTTTGTGTTGTATTAATGTGTTGCTATATGTTATAGCATACATTTTATTATTCCATTAAGTCTAAAATATAGCGAAGAAACGTTCTATATAATCGAACTGAGCTTGGTAGATTACAATTATTAGCCGTGCAGGTGTTATTGTGGGCAATACCGTTTAAAATTATTTGAATATGAACAATGTATCATTTCAATATGGAACTTAAATATATAATATATTCATGCATCTTGCATTTAATGGTAGAATGAATACATTTTTGATAATATACCAAATTATTAAATATACGGAAAAAACTTCTTCTTTTTTTAAAATTCATATTTATTTTGCTTCTTACAACATAGTCATTAACGCTTCATAAATTTACATTATTGTAATTATTTATTTATTTTGTGAAAAAATTGTTCAATGTGAATGAAAATATACTATTATACATTTGAAAAGTAAAATAACATTTGAATCTTAAATTTGGTTAATGTAGTTATTATATCCCAATTATATAATATAATATTATTTATTTTTGTTGAAATGGTTATCTTCTATATCCAATTCTATCATAATTCATAATTTATTTATTTCAATTTCAGATTTTATAAAATAATTATTTTGTTTGATCAGAAGTAAAAATTTGTTTTAACTTCTTAACTTAAGAACTGTTTGGATATTAATATTATTGAATAAACATTAACCCCCCACACTCTAGGTATTGTGTTACTGTAATTATTATTTTAAACATCGTCATAAATAAAATTTGCACAAAAAAAAAATGGAAATACTCTGAAAAAAAAAAAAATAATATCCATAAAGTTCTTAAGACTTACTTATTGACGATAGCAAGGTTTAGTTAATTGGTTTGTTAATTAGTTGATAATTCTTCTCGAGTCGTATACGTAAATAGCTAAGTACTATCAATATGATGTTCTTCTGAACTAACGTAAAGTTTTTTTTCCCGTATATTAAGTCTTTTAACTTGATTCAATTTCAGTTATCACAATCAAAAAAATAATTTATTTATTTATATTAAACTTGTAGTGAAATTTTTATGTATGATTCATCAAAATCTTCAAATGCTTTTTTTCATGGTGAATATTTAATTCATTAATCTAAGCTACTTTTTGTCTCTTTATCGCTGACGTTAAACTAAATTCTATTTTTAAGATTTATTCTATTACAAACATGATTATTATGTAGTTAATCATTTTGTTTTTGTTTTTGTAGAACAACTTATTATTAGTTTCCAATTTTTCATGTAGTCCATACATTTGTTACATTATAGAATTATTATTTATTATTAATTTCCATTAAGTTTCATAAATCTGGCAAATCGTATGATTTATTTGACAACTTGTATCATACAAAAGGGGTGTAAAATAAACGAATTTTAAATAGGTACTTAATTAATATTAAATACTTTAAATAATTTAAATAGTAACTAACAGTGATATATTACTTTGTCAAATGTTATGATATAAAAGTAAATACAGTTTTAATAAAACGCACAATCGTATATTAGGTGTTTTATTAGAACATTAAATCATTATTTATCATGAATGTGAATAAAATTAACACTTATTTATTGCATGGGGAGCAGACAGTAGTATTAAAGGGTAACAACTAAATAAATTAGGTAGCTTAATGAAAATAGAAATGTAATTAGATAGGTAATTATATATTTTAGGTATGTTAAAAAGAACTTTTTATTTATTAATAAATACTAACATTTATGCACAAGACCTTAAACAGGCATTTTATGTAAGTCTGAATAATAAAAATTAAATTAAAAACTTAGCAAATAATTTTTCACCATTAAAAATTTACGATCGTTTCAAAGTAACGTATCCATAAAAAACAACACTGTTTATATGGTACACATTTTAATAAATCCAAAGAATTCGTGGTATTCATAGAGATTACACTTTAAAATTTTCAAGTAATCACCTAAGTCTATAACGACAATTTCGAATGGAAGTATTGTGATAATAATAATATAGTTGCAGGTACCTATATATTTATATATATATGAATGTACGGCAAATGTTTCAATGGCTATAACACGCGTAGGTATTCGTTTTTTCATCTCAAAACCTTTCGAGGTATTTATAGTTTTAATACGCATCGAGAAGACAATATTACACTGCAGAGCCAATAGGGGCTAAAAACGATAAGTACCATAACGGCATGTCGTAGTGCTATAGAAAATATTCTCAAATACTACCTATGTTGTACACCTTTAAAGTAATAGTAAAAAACAATAAATTAAATCAAAATGAACGAATATAAAACGTATTCATACAACAGAAATAGGATGTGTGAAATAGTATGAGTGATCAGTGAAAAAAAATGTGTTACGTAATATAGAAAATAATCTACCGCGTGTTGTTAGTCGACCTGTTGTCATATTTTCGTTTACTTCGTGTTACCTGCTGCTGCTATAACCTAAACACGATATTATATTGTTGTGTATATCAGGGAAACGCCGTCGTCACGATAGATAATTCACTACAATAAAATTAAGACTGCCTCAGTTATAATAATGCATAAAGATATCGACGAGAGGACAACAGTCTTGGTTTTTTACACAGACTACACTAGATTAGAGACTCGACGTATAAAACAAATAAGCAATAAAAATTATTGAAGCTCATGTGCTATGTTTTTGGGCTGAATAAAATACGTCCAATGATAAAAACTGCAATCTATTTAGGTAAATAATATTATACATCCAAATTCCGAAGATAAACATAATATTATTATTAGTTTATTCATTCATCCAACCAATGTAAATATTTCAACCAAGACAATTATTGTGTGATAATATTCAATAAATTGATGACGGGAGTTCCCTCAGAAGAAAAATATTGAAAAACCGAGAATATTTGAATTCCATTTAAAATCTAAAATCACCTTAAAAATTATCTATACAAAAAGATACTATTTCATTTTCCCGGTACTGCGGTATGCTTATTATATTATAGTCTATTGTATTGTTGAGTTTAAGCTGTATAACCTTCCCATCAGTCTTTATACCCCTATATTATTTTATCGTGCGACGGTCGGTGATTTTATATTATTTACTTTGTATAATGCAACAATCGTGTAACGAAAAAATGAACATGTATTATCCCGATATTTGTGTGTGGTTGTGTCTAAGTCGACATGAATGTCGATGAGCTTTTTTTAAATTGGACGATCTCGAATAATGGGCTTATGCATGGAAGTGCACCTAGCCACAAAGCCCTAACGCCATTAGCAGTAACATATAAAAATAACAATAATAATATCGTAATAATATTATTCATAGATATCAAATACATCCGTCGGGTAGCACCACCTCGAGGTGTTTGCAACCAGAGGTTGTGACTCTGCAAGTATCCACAAAAAATTGGTCAAACGCCATAGAGAAGGTACACGCCACGAGAAGCAAACATTAGGGTACGGTAATTTGCACGCGCGGTTGCCTAGCCAGGAAATTCGCAGGAGCTCGCAGTCTGCGCGCGTTTATACCTGGAGGATCTCGTCGTCAGTGTTGTTGTAGTCGATGAATTCGGTGTTGTTGACGCATAACGGGACGTTGGCGGAAGACATGTTCCGGCACATCTCGTACCTGTACAGCGCGGCATCCTCGAGCACGGTGGGCACGCCAGCCGTCGGGTTCATGGTGGCACGAGGCGGTGCCGTCTTGTCGGGAGGGTTGGTGTTTGGTTTTAAGGGATGAGGCGACTAGTGAGAGCTGTCTATGACGATCAGTTCAGCGAATCATCGGAGGGCGATCAGGGTGACGCCTCGAGGACGGCAACAAGCGGATACGACTGCGACGGGTTCACGTGATGTCCGAGTCGCGTCTCTCGCGCGTAGATTGTTCCGGCGAGCGGTCCCGGCGCGGTCAGTGGCTGTCGGCGGCGTGGCGTACGCGTTTGGCGGTGCGCGGCGACAAACTGCCGTGGCTCTTACTCGGCGCCTCGCGACGAACACGCATCGCGCGGTGATCAAACGCGACGAACACCTCGCGCACGCCCCGTCCGCGAAACGCGTGCCCTGTCCCGCTCGCCCAAAATACCCCTACGCACCAATACCCACCCATCCAACTACCCACCCACCCACCACATGGTCGAGTAGCAGCGCCGCGGGCGCTCACACCACCGTGGAATATAATATACATACATATATAATCCACCCACGCGCCGTAACGACCCCCTACGACCCACCCCTCACACGTTTTTGGACACGCACACTGGGCTCTCGTCGTCCGGCAGTATATTGTAACGTCGTCACCACCACCGTCCCACGACATTCGTAAGCAAATGACAATGATGACAGAAGCATAGCCCTTTTTTTTTTGGTATTGGACACGCTGACTGTACCTACATTATAATAATAATATATGATAAAATAATACATTAAATAACTAAAAAAATGTCGAGGACTTCGATAATGACTTTTGAATGGAACGGTAGACAAAGTGATTGTGGAGACGATTATTATCGGACAAATGCGTTTTTTAATTTTTAATTGTTATGTATTTTTTCAGAGAGAGAGAGAGAGAGAGAGAGAGAGAGAGAGAGAGAGAGTGGGGAATAATAATAAGTGAAAATTATTTTATATTTCACTCTCGTGTCAGGCTCTAATGACATGCAACCCATACTGCTTGGTTGCAATAAACTTAGTTAAAAGATAATGCTAATAAATGGTCACGAGTGCCTAATTAATATTTTTATTCCAAATAAATAAGAGATCTTTGTAAGATTTTAAAATTAAAACATTTATCGTGTTCAATGCTTTGTTTTTTTAAACACAAAATATAAATCGATCTCTAAAATTTGTATGAAGTTAAGTCTAATATGTTTGTATGTACACCAATATACTGTTTTAAATACGACACAATTTCGGATCAGTTTCAAATCGCAGTTGAGCATAAAGGTATTGTAAACAATAAATCAATTTTTTTCTCAGTTGAAATGTTTATGTGTGAGAAGCAATTTCGGGATTTTTGTCATTCAGTTGAACAATGAATAATTAAGAATTATATACCGTTTTAAAGCCTTTATAGCAACAATAACAATCACAGTATATTTTACTGCGGAAACAATAGCTTTCATTAAAATACGAGAAAAAAATATACAAATAAGTAAGGTAAATAATAATAAGGTACCTATTGTTTGGTTGTAGGCGCATGATATTAATTACTAGTATAACTGTACAGGTTATGCTAGTTGAAATTAAGTTTTGCAGTAGTTTGAAAATTATTGAAGAACAATCTATTGTGTCATCTCAGCGAGCTACATACTATATTTCGATAAAATACAAATATACGCTGAAATTGAAAAATATATAGTGTACTGATAAATCGATCCTTATAAAATAGTACGAGCCCGTCATGAGAATATGCATTACCTACACGTGAACACTATTAATGGTGTGCTGTACTTGGGACAGGTGAAAAATGCTTCCTACAGGGCCACCTTGAACAAAATAAACTATGTACTAACGGTTAATGTAGCGAAATATATAGGCACATTTTGACGTTTCAATGGCACAATACATTTTTGTCTGATAAGAAAGTTTGTCATAGAGTAACGGAAAAGTTTCACTATAGTTGAAGTTTTTAAATAATTAGATATTAAATATTTGCTTTCATATTATTAATACTGCATCCATTGATTAATATGTTGAAACGTATTACATTCATAAGCGGATACTTTGAAAAATATGAGGAGGCTTAAAATATATCCGATTGAGTCAACAGTGCCTTAACTTTTTGCACCAAATTAATAGAAGTGGCCTGAAATGTCCACAAAGACAGAAACCATAAAAGGTGTTTTTGAGAAGAATTTAGAAAATCCATGTTTGACTTTCAGGTAATATTTTCATAAAACGTAATTTTTATGTTAGCACCACAAAAATGCTACTAATATTATATTGTTTAAAGCGAAAATTACAGGACTGAGAAAAAAATATTGGTTATTACGTATAAGACAGTGTTGTCTCATAGCTAAAATGTAGAGGTATATCGTAGGTACCTTCTGGTGGGTACTAAGAAAGTATTGGTTATCTAAGTGTTTTGTGTTAATGTACCATAGTTATAGCTTAGATTAGTATTTAGATTTAACCTGTGGAATATTTAATAGAGATTCAAATTGTCTCTGTTTCTATGTTAATTGCAGTAGCGTGCTCAGCTTGTTTTGAAGGGGGGGGGATATATGCATTTTTTACTATTCTTGGACTACGTTATATAATATATATTCATTGCTTTGTCATATATTTTATTTGACAAAAATAAGACCAATGGGGGGAGGGATATGACACCCTCGCCCACCCCCTTGAACACGTTCATAGCTTATAAGAAAATACATGAAGTATCTATAGCCACTAACCATTTTATAAATTGTGTAGCTTGTACAATTATGCACCCATACATAATATATGCATATAGTATGCTTCACTAACATTGTATTATTAACTATCAAGCAAATAATCAAATCAAACAATCCGTTATCATTGTGGCAATAGTGATAATCTATGCTTAAGGGCACCAGAAAAAAATATATTTTAAAAATTTGAAAATGTGATTACATAAAATTACTTTGTAATAACTATCAAACACTGCAGTCCGTTCTGATTTTTAAACCCAAAAAATAAATGATTATAAGCTCGGAAAGCCCCGAAAATTTATGAAAATTAAATATTTCAAGTAAAATGTATTAAAATGGAAAAGCACCCGTGGCCAAATATTATATTTAAAAAAAATTATGTTGTAGAAACAAAAACTGCAGTTCTATACATTAAAATCAAACCAAAAAGATTATACAAACAAAAACATAAATACAATTTGATCAGACGTCAGTTGAGATTAAAGGCAGAAACAATAAAGTACATAATTTAAATTTAAAAACTTCATTCTTACGACGTAAAAAAATGGAAGGGCGCCCTCGGGGCTACGGTATTTTAAGAAGCAAAAAACCAAATGAGTATATTTTGTTATCTAAATAATAACTATTAGCTTAATTAATGAATAATTATTCAGATGTCACTTAGTGATCGCTGAAAAAGTTTAAAAATTAATAAATGCATACAAAATTAATGATTTTTAATACTATATAAAAAAAAAAAACAGAGGTAGGGTCTTGGCCCGAACCCGCTGTTCAATTCATTTTAAAAATGTTAAAAATTTAATTAAATATAAGCTTGAGACTGCAGTGTATTTTGATTTTTAGACTAAATAAATTATAGACTCGGTATTAGTATAAGTATTTTCAAAATAAGAGAGTAGCACGGGGCATTGACGCTAGGGGGTGCAAAAAAGTCTCGAGCACCCCGAAGTTCCATTTTAGCATTCTTTATTTTTTTAGGTCTCTGTCTAACTACTATTATTACAGTGAAATATCACCAATTTTATGTTTTTAAATTATAAAATATTTACCGAAAAAATTGTATTAATTTTGGTCATACTATGATTTGAACTACAACAACAATTCATTATAAATAAAGATGATTGGAATTAAGATACACATTATGGAAAAACGGTAAAAAGCAATAATACGCACTATGTATAGATGTGTACTAGACCGGACTGTGTATTTATTATTCATTACTATTTACTGGTAAGCCCCCATGTATTTTATATTAATTATTACCATTTCATCGTTTAAATCTTAATATATTACTAGCAAAAAGATTATTATAGGTATATATTTTATTTTACTATTAATATGAAGTGTGTTAAAAAGGGTATGAAAAGTTGTCAAGTACCTGTCGATTATTGTAGTTTTATAACTTATAATAATATTATATCATTTTAGTATTAAGGGATGTGGTGAGTAAATCGTTATTCTTAGTCTAGATATCAAATTTTATCCAAATGTGAACTTTAAAATATGTCCATAAAAAAAAATACAAGTTTATATTTTTTTTTTTATATTTTTTTGTTACATAATATAGGAGAGACGTGTGAGGAACCTTGTATTAAATTTTAATTATAAACTTTGAACGTTAAATATTATTTTATATTACTATATATACTTTTTTAATTTTAACTATTTATATCTTATTACTTTTGAGAAAGTTTATACAAAAAGATGCATCCATGTAAAATAAATATTAAAACTTCACTTTAATGAGTTTAAATAATAACGTGCTAGATATATCATTATTATTTAAACTGCTAGATATATCATATTATAATATGAGTTGATAATTATTTCACTGTAGTCTTACAATTGAAAGCAATCAATAATCATCAATCATCTCATACAAAAATAATTTAGAATGGATATCAATTTATTATTTACTATATAATAAAGTTTTTATAAGATGTTAATACAATTTAAAGTATTTGAACCACCTATTTGAGATATGACGTAAGTCCATAAAAGGTAATTCTGAGAAAACAAGAAAAAACTGTTTTTACGCTACCAGTAATACATGGTTATTTCTCTTTCATACTGATTATTTACATTGGTAAAATTAAATATTTTTGCAAATGTTCGCATCTGACCCGTCTATCATTTGACAACACATTCCACTCAATATCTCAATTTGCGATGTTTTTTTACATACGTAGTTTCTCAAATAGGTATGGTTTATTAATAAAAACAGTTAGTAATGAGTTTCAAAATATATTGAATGTATAAACATGTCTAAAAATGGAAATAAATTATAACTTTTTATTGATGTCTGGGCTTTGTACGTTTTAAAATAACCTAACTATTTGACTATTATCGAACAGTAATAATAAAATTATAATGTTCAACGATAGATAGTAAAAAAAATATTTTGAACTCATAACGTTGAATTTCATATGAGTTTTTTCTACCGGACCTAATATTACACTTATTTTTGAATTAAATTCAAATGCACAGGAAAAAAATTGTTTATGGTGGTTTTTTTTCAAATTAGTATCACTCTTATTTTAGCAACTTTGACTTCAGTTTTTTTCCATCTTAAAAATTGAATTA